GTTGAGTTTGTTCTTCATGACTGATAGAAGATTCAGGAAAGTTAACTTCTACAGAGGCTTAGAGAAACCAGCTTAATTCAGCCTGTGATATTAGGCGAAGGATGGATCATGTGGCACACCCTCAGGTGCCCCATCCTTTTCCTGCACAGACTCTGGGTGTATGTATAGAACAGCCTCTGCCTTAACTCACCCCTTCCTGCCAGCTTCCCAGTCAAATCTCAGCCTCCTTGCTACGATGCCAGCAGCATCACTGGAGACTGTCATGGGGGGAATGCAGGAGTTCTCTGCTGTAACCTCATTCCTGGCCACCAACTGAACATCAGCGACAGTGTTTCTTCCTTCCCCATTGTCTGGGTGGCTTTTACTATACCACACTGCTGACCTCGTGAAAGTGTTATGTAAATCATGGGTTGTTTCTGTTCTGCTCACTAGGATTTGGTTTTACCCAGTTTGCTCCTGAGAAGGAAAATGTGTTACAAGTAAACCCATCTTAGAAGGAAAGGAACTTTTTTTTTTTTTTTTAAAAAAAAACGGGGGGGGGGGGGGCTGGAGAGATGGCTCAGTGGTTAAGAGCATTGCCTGCTATGCCAGAGGTCCTGAGTTCAATTCCCAGCAACCACATGGTGGCTTACAACCATCTGTAATGAGGTCTGGTGCCCTCTTCTGGCCTGTAGGCACATACACAGAATATTCTATACATAATAAATAAATAAATATTTTTTTTTAAAAAAAAAGAATGTTGGGACTTTCTTTGTTTCAAAAGCCAGTTTGCAAGCCTATGTAACATAGTAAAGAAACAGCCCATGTATTCTCATGAACAGATTCCATCTGGATTTTACCTGCTCTCCAAATGACAGCCTTTCCGGCCACACGCTGAACTTCTCTTACTTCTGGTCTTCTTCAGCCAAGAACATCGTTTCAGTCATCCCCCAGCTTTCACTGTCTTTGCAGATCTAAAGGTTACAGACCGTAGAATGTTCTGCTTTGGTTTTATCTGACATGTCCTCGTAATGGCATTCTCCAGGTTGTTCTCCTGTATGGAGCCACTCACTCAATCCAACCAGGCATCCTGCTCAGGCCGCTTTGATTCCTGCCACACAGCTTGTGCCACTCAGACCTGCCTGGCCGCTCCTCACTTATAAGGAAGATAGGAAACGAAAAGGAAGGAGGGGGTGGAGAGAGGGAAGTAAAGACGGAGGCATGGATGGATAGAGATGGCGAGAAGAGGGGAGGAAGCCCAGAGAAAAGAGGGACCATCAGTGTTTATATATGAAGTAGAAATATACAAAACTGGTCAGTTGTCTGTAATTACTGTTAATAAAAAGGTTCAGATTATTTACACTAAATGTATAGTTCTCAGGACATAGTTCAAATGAATGTTGAAGCACTGATGTTTTAGCACAGCCGTTACAATTCTATTACTTAAAACAGTTACAGTTATTTTAAAATGTGAGGTATTCACATGATTTATAATGGTGGTGATTTTAGTAATTCAGTGCCGTCTTCGCACAGCTGGGACTTGTTGGCATTTCTTTTGGGCATGGCCTGGGTTGGTGGATAGTCTGAACAAGAGACAGAATTCATTTATCTTTTAACCTGGAATTCTGACTTCTAAATGACTTAGAGAATACGATAGATTTCCAGTTAGCTCAATGTGATACGAAAGAGCCTAAACCTAACGTGATTATGTCCTCGCTGGATGCCAGGACGTCCAGGCTCATATTTTGCTGCATGATAAAAATCACCTTTCCTGTGATGTAGCTGTGTGGTGGAGCTGCTGCGAACACATGATAGAATGGGTCCTCCTGGAGCAGCTGATTTGTCTTTATCAGGGCAATCAGTAGCTATTAATAAGAACAAACATGTTTACCTGCACAAACCGTGAGGCTCTAGAGTGGTTATTCAAGCAGATCCGCTACCACTCCAAGAAATTCAAGATAGATGCTGAAGTCTTCAAGGACCAAAATTGCTGAAGTCAAAAAAAAAAAGGCTGCTGTTTCTATGGAAATAAAAGGCACGGGCAGGCCAACGCCTTTTAAAGCAGAAGTGCTGAATTAGGCTGAATGCTAGTCTCTCTTCCTGGCCACAGAAATGGGCAAAGTAAAACAAATATGAGCCCAGGGGTTTCTGTGTGGCCTGCATGGGAGTCTTGGGCCCATGAGCCTTACCGACAGACACAGGAAAGGAAGCCCTCTCGTGGAGAGGTCTCTAAGCCCATGAACATTTCCTTCTCCTGTGCTGAAACTGGCTGTGATTGTTATCTCTGTGTTACCCATCCTTCGCCATCATAGCCAACAGCGGAGATGGTCAGATTGTAAGTAGGGAAAGGTTCTCCTGGGGTTAGGGTTTCGGAAGTTCCAGTCCATAGTCACCCGACCCCACTACTTATAGGCCACTGTGGGGGTGGGGAACATGGAGGGTGGGGAGCGGGGTGGGGGATGAAGTGTGTGTGTGTGTGTGTGTGTGTGTGTGTGTAGTGGCGAGTACAGGGTTGTTGTTGGTGTGCGTGTGTGTGCGTGCCTGTGTGTGGAGGTGACTAGTGGAGAGTGCAGGGTTGTTGTTGTTGTTGTGTATGTGTGTGCGCACGTGCCTGTGTGTGTAGGAGACAGTAGTGGAGAGTGCAGGGTGGAATAAAACCCCTCACTGTTGGGACTGTTATTTTCAGGTGTGTGACTTCTGTCTCTGCTGCATCTCTTTAACTCTGTGAAGCTGTGGTTCTTTGCCTTTCTGGAACACCTGACGATCTAATAAAGCTCTGAACGGCCAACAGTGAGGCAGGAGGAAGACTAGGCGAGGTTAGCAGGTAGAAAGCATATATAGAAAGAAATCTGGGAGAAAGGCGTTCTGAATAGGAGCCCGAGGAGAAGAAAGACATCAGGAGCCAGTCACCCAGCTACACAGCAATCCACGGAGTCAGAGTAAGATTTACAGATGCGAGAGAACAGGAAAAGCCCAGAGACAAAGGTGGATGGGATAATATAAGTTAAGGAAAGCAGGCACGAAAGAAGCTGAGCTAAGTCTGGACGTTTATAATTAAGAATAAGACTCCTTGTGTGATTCATTTGGGAGCTGGGTGGTGGGTGCCCCCCAAAAGAGTCCTAAGAGCATAACATCATACAACTACATCTCACCTCCCAGCTAGTAAGCTAGAACCAGAGTCTGGGGTTCTACAGCCTCCATGGTACAGTTCTCCCCCACTGGCCTGGCGACCTCACAGTAGGCCGGACCCCTAAAAGTCTCTCCCCCCTCTCCACAGTGCTAAGCTTAGGACCAAGGCTTTACCACAGGCCTTTCTGGGAGCATCCATATCCAAACTACAGCAATTGTGTTTCGTGTTTCTCAATCCACTGAACATACATTTGTAAAACATATTTCCAGATGATTAGAAGATTACCTTAAATTTTTTTTTAAATTAGATTCAACAAACAAAAAGCCAATAGAATTTCTGAATCTTCCCAATGTCTTACTCAGGCACACACTTATTTTCTTCTTCCCTGAAGCATCCACTGCTCTTGTTCAGTGTGACTTCTTTGCAGGAAGCCTGGACCGACCTGAGGTTTGTTTCTGAGCCGTTCAGAACACTGCAGGCCGATGGCTCCCAGTATTCTTGATAGCAAAGCTTAAAATTTAAGCACTTCACAAACTTATTTTTTATTTTCTCGGTGCTTGTTTAAGAATTATATTTTTCTTTCTTTCTTTTTTCTTTTTTTTTTGGTTTTTCAAGATAGAGTTTCTCTGTAGCTTTGGAGCCTATCCTGGAACTAACTCTGTAGACCAGGCTGGCCTTGAACTCACAGAGATTCACCTGTCTCTGCCTCCTGAGCACTTTGTTCATGTTTAAGACTGATTTTAAAGTCTGCTTTATTGAGAATCTTCACACAGAACAAAACAAACACACGTAGGTTTCTGATGAGCACACATTGTGTAACCCCCCTCATAATCAAGGTCTTGGGAAGTCCCATCACCCCATCCCTATGCTTCCCTTTGACCTTTGATATCACACCCCTCAATAAAAATAACTCGCAACTCCACAGCTCCTGATCTGTTTCTGTCCCTATATGTATAGTTTTGTTCATTCCAGAACGTTCAATCATGAGAGCTGCTTGCCAGAGATTACATTTCAGTACTGAGAGGCATTTCGGCGTGTGAACGCAGCACTGACTCTTCTGTAGCTTGTCCACTCAGGAACCTTTCGGTTGTTTCTCCGTTGGCCCAAGTGTAGTCCCAAGATGAGCGGGTTTCCAGGGAGGGCCTTAGGAGCCTTTTCCAAGGAGAGGTAACAAGAGCAGATGGTGTCTGAGGGCTTTTCCCGAGGAAGGGGCTAATTCCCAAGACTATAAAGTGGACACAATAGAAGCACAGGAACGGGTTTCAGGATCATTTTTATTAACAGCAGGCAGTCCTTACCTACAAACTTAATATTCATACACTATGTTTTAAACAGACTGGTGGGGAAGGAGGTAAATTTTAAGATGCTAGACCCCGGCTTTTGAAGAAACAAGTGATTTTAGTTTCTGTTCTAAATTCCCGAAGACAGCGGAATATAACCAGTTTCTACTAAGTAGAGCGATCGAAGGGAGACGATCCCAAGAAGGGCATCCCGCTCAATAGAGAGGCAGCTGTTCATATTCTCATTTTACTGACGAAAGGCTATGCAGGGAATCAAGACTCGGATTTTCTCTCTGCAGATCCAGTGCAGTTATCCTAGGAACTGTCTCACCTGAATAATAAATGCTAAACCTCAAAACAACACAGGTCTTAAGGGGAAGGAGCTAAAGTTTCTCTGTGTGGTGTGGGAAGGTACCCACTGTGCGCCGTCTCCCCCTCCTCTCTCCAAGGCCTCCTGGGCGACCGAAGTTCTTCCCTGAAAACAGACCTCTAGCAGGTCCCTCTGCTCCTTTTGGTCTGTTAGACCGTTTCACATTTGACTCATCGTCCCAGTTACCCACCCGTAGCCATCTTCTGGTGAACACAAGCAGCCTTCTCCAACTCTTCCAGTCCAAAGGGCCTTTGAGGCTGAGCAACCCGCCCTTCAAAACACCTCCTCCCCGCAGGCTTTAATATGCTGGCGGCGAGGCTAGCAGCTTCGAGGGGCTTCGGACAGAACAGAAACCGGTATCAGAGTCCCTAGCAACCCATCCCTTCTGCCCGCACGTTTTGGGGGCTGGAATCTGGCCCAGCCTGTCCCAGCAGCCAAGTCAGGCCTGGGCCAGCTCCGCCCCGAGCAGCAGCTGGACGGCCACACCCTGTGCCGAGCTGGGTTCCTGTGAGCCAGAAGCCTCGCCCCCCGACGACGTTCCGGAGTCTCTGCGGCTGCCGCCCCACCCAGCCAGGCCTCGCCACCCCGATCGCGCTCGGCCCCCCGCAGCCCGCGGTGACTTCCCCGGGACCATGCTGCGCTGGCTGCGGTCCTTCGTGCTGCCTACGGCCGCCTGCCAGGACGCGGAGCCGCCCACGCGCTATGAGACGCTCTTCCGGGCACTGGACCGCAATGGGGACGGCGTGGTGGACATCGGAGAGTTGCAGCAGGGGCTGCAGAGCCTGGGCATCCCACTGGGCCAGGACGCGGAGGAGGTGGGTCGCCAGGGGCGCTGGGGAGGCTGCCGGTGCTCCGGGACCGAGCCAGGTACCGGGAGGGCTGTGGCCTGAGGCCAGGCAAGGAGGCGGAACTATGCCCGCCAGCGGCTGGAAGAGCTCCGGAGAGTTGAATCTGGAAGGCGGCGGGTATTTTTCCAGATAAGTTAGTGTTACACACTTAAAACTGCCAAGGCTTTCGTTCTGAGAGCATCTCTAGTTCTTGGTTCTTCACTTGTCCCGACCTTTGCAAACAATGCATGGCTGTTCCCCTGTCAGACTTCTTTAAGTAAGGTGAAAGAGACACTTTGTGTCCCTTGGAAGTAGCTTTGTTACAACTACCAACTAGAGTTTTGTTTCAAAAACTGGTTAAAACCAGCAGCGCTCCCCGCCGCTGGTCGAGGTGGAAATGCCACATTCCGTTTTTATGACATTCTAAGTTAGTGCCCTAAGTACACACTTTGATCTGAAGGGTTGACCTGTTGTAAAGTAATTGTTCTTTCTCTGAGTCATGTAAATTGTGCCCCTGACATCCAGGCCCCTTGGCAGGGTGGACACACTGAACCTGGAACTTGTCCAGCCTGTTGCTGTGCAAGAGGACACTGGCTTTCCTAGCCCAAGAGGAACGTGCTTGAGTTACTGCGGGGGCCACCAACTGTTCTGTATCTATATTTAAAACTCTTTCACCGTCAATGTCCTTAATAAGAGGCTTCTTCACTTTACTACAGCTTCTTAGTAAGTTAAACTTTTTATTTTTTTTGGGGGGGGGAGGGAACTCCTCATTTTGCCCAAAGTATTATTATATATCTCATTTCTGATCTCTGTTCCTTTCCCTTCTTCACACTGGCCATAGGTTTGCCTATTTAATACACATTCTGAAAGAACCAACTTCGGTACTTTTTGCGGAGTGTGTCTGTTCTACTTAATCTGGGGTGACTCATTTCTTCCTATTTCTTGAATCAAAGGTCTGACTTGCTAATCTTGAGTGATAGCATCTCTTAGCCTCTCCATAGCCGAATCTCACAGGTATGTTGAGGGTTATTTATTTACCTATTTGTTTGTTTGTTTATTTTTTGAGGCAGGGTTTCTCTGTGTAACAGCCCTGGCTGTCCTAGAACTCACTCTCTAGACCAACCTGGCCTCGAACTCATAGAGATTCTCCTGCCTCTGCCTCCTTAGTGCTGGGATTAAAGGCGCTACCACCGCCCTGAGGGTTAGTTTTTTTTATTATTCTCCTCCAGGTGATTTCTAGCCACTGGTATGATTTCTTTGACTCAGGTTTCACTTTAAGTGTGCTTTAAATTTCCTATTACGTTTTTGTTTTTTGAAAATATGAACATAGTTGACAAAGCATGTGGTAAGATTTTAAGAAGAGAGGGATTACCCAAGGATGATGGGGCATGCCTATAATCCCAGAACTCTGGAAGCTGAGCCAGGAGAATTGCTGCAAGTTACTGGTCAGCTTGGGCTCTATCCTCCCCTCATCTAAGTCAAACTCGAGTGAACTGAAACACACAGCAACGACAAAAGCTCAAAACCCTGGACCCCGCAATAATAACAAATCACGAGATAAAGTCTTTATTTTTTCAAAATTTATTATATATAAAACAAATTATGTAAAAACTGTGCATTTAAATATATAGAAGAGGGCAGCTCATGTTTATCACTGGCAAGTGTGTATATTTTGTGCATATATAAATTATATTTTGTTCAGACGTGTAGTGTCATATTGGTGTCATGCCTGGTGTATGATCACACTATTCCCAGCACTAATGCACTCCTTTGCAGAAGGCTAGTAATAGCTATTCCTCAATGATAAAAAAAATAATTTTCTACTTTTTCTTTACAACATTTGTAAGTTTAAGAACTGTTATTTTTATAGTTAAGGGGAAGTTAGTTTTGTTTTGAATAACTGGCACCTTCTCTGTGGTGTGTCTTCCTGGACCACCTTCCAGGGATGAGCTGACTGTGTACTGCTGTGTGTGGCTCCCTTACCTCACGTGTCCCCACTTTTATGATTGCGAGTGGTATTATGTATTGATCAGTACGACCTCCGATAAGACCAGCACGTAGGACTGACAGTTCTGTCTCTCTCACTGGATCAAAGGGTTTAGGGCTAGCATCTGAAATACACTGACATGACAGTGACCTGTCTTTTAATAATTACAAAACTAAACTTTAAATCGGTTGTGTTGCTTTTATATACACATTTATTTGTATGTGCGTGCACATGTGCTTGCGTGGGAAGCATTGCATGTCTATGGAGGTCAGAGGACAGCTCATTGAGTCACTTCTCCCCTTTACAGAGTGAACTCCAGGGTGGAGTTCAGGCCTTGGTGGCAAGTGCCTTTACCCCCTGTGTTGTCCTGCAGGCTCCACTTGTGTTTCCGTTTTCATCATAAGTAGGACCAGCTAATCAAAACCGTGCTGGGGAAAATCGGATCAACATGGAGTATGGGATACGGCAGGCGGATGCCTAGGCCGTGGGCTGACTTGTACGCCCTATTTGCTGTGATCTGGACACACATAACTTGTCTGTGTTTCCACTTCATGTCATTTCTCCTCACAAATGCAGTGAACACCACCCTAGACACATACTAGGACGATTCTTCTTCTCTTTGTTTCCCAAGGCTCCTTCCCCTGTGCTGCAGGATGGCGGCTCTGGTTGGTCTGTGTTCACTCAGGGGTCCTCAGCTGACCAGACTTCAGCTGTCCCTCCTCATTCTCAGAGGAGTGGGATTTGGATGAGAGCTTCATTCAACACAGGAGTTCCTAAAAAGTCTAGGCCAGGCTGATAGGGAACTAGCCAATGGTATTGAAGAGAGGACGAGAGGGCACTTGTGTTGGGGAGAAGTGGCCCCAGCTCCAGTTCCCCACAGAATCCTGTCACTGCCTGGAGCAGCCCAGGGACAGGACAGCTTTTCAGTGTATCAGAAGGTGCCATGGCTGGAGACCGGAGGATGCCAGTCAGCTGTGGCTCCCATGCAGAATCCCTCGAAGGGGAATAATCGCTCCATCCATGGGCCATGATTTCTACAATATACAAGAACTTTCTGCAGCCCTCAGTAATTTTGAAGATTCTAAAAGGATCTGGAGATCAAAGAGGTTGTTCATTGTTGCTGTGCAGAATTTTTAATGATTGTGTGATATACTACTTTATGTTTATATAATATTATTTCCAATACTCTGATTGATATCTAGCTTATTGATAGTTTTAAAACTGTGTCAAATAAAATTACATCAGAATCCCTTTGATTTTATTTTTTTGTCTCATTTGGTCCAGTTATTTTCATAAGATACATTTTTTTTAACGTTTTGAGCCTATACTGTAGTTACAATGTTTATCCCTTCCCTTTCTCCCTTCAGACTCTTCTATGCATTCCTCCTTGCTTTCCTCCAAATGTGTGTGTGTGTCTGTGTGTATGCATGCACACACACACACGTATGTAGAAATATAACCCACTCAGTCTGTACAGTGCTACTTGGTTGCATGTTTTTAGGGCTGACCATTTGGTATTGTGCGCTCTCCTTGGAGAAGACCATTTCTCTCGCTTTTAGCATTCCTAATTTGCTTGTAGGTCCCTGTGTAGGGTTGAGGCCCCGTGGTCTTTTCTCCATTTACTTAAGCCTCTCTATTATCCTGTTCAGCTCATATTTGGACAGCCATTTTGACTTTATAGATGAGATTTTGGCGAGGCTTTGTGGATGTCATTTCTGACATTGCTAGGAGACAGAATCTCATCACACACGCCCTGATCTTCCGGCTCTTACAGTCTTTCCTCCCCATCTTCTGCCCTGTTTCCTGAACCTTAGGTGTGGGAGTGTCTCATAGATGTATCTGTTAGGACTGGGCTCCACAACTCTGCAGTTTGATTGCTTATGGTTTTCTGTAGTGGTCTCTGTCTGTTGCAAGGAGACGTTTCCTTGTTGAGGGGTGAACAATACTACAACCACACCTATCTGTAGGTAGGTTTAAGGACAGATGTTTAAACTGTCAATAGGGATTATGCGGGTTTAGTAAATTAGTGCTTGCAGATTCTCCTCAGATATCCATGGCTTCACTAGCACTGAGTAGTAAGCTACGTTTCCTGTTCCAGACTTGTTTGCCGTCTTGTTGGGCGGGTCTTAAATCCAGTCAGAGAGTTGTTGGTTAGCACCAAGGTAGGCGTGTGTGCATCTACTGCACCCGTAGGATGATTGTGCCATTCTGGTTGTTGCTGTGGTTCATAGGTGTCACAGCAAGATTGGGCTTCCCTCCTTTGGGAGATTGAGTGACATCTTCTGGCAGAATGAAGCCCAATCTTTAGAGAAGAGGCTTTCAGGTCAGGTCCAGTTCAGGGGCCCCTGGGCCCTGTTTCTGAAGTGCATGGTGTCTTCTGTGATAGGGATTTATCTCCACCCCTTGGAGGGAGCCAAGGGCAATAGCGATAAACTGTATTTTTTTTTTTTTGAGTCTCTTGGCCATCACTGGCCAACTACTCAGAAGAGGCCTTCTCATGTCCAGCTAAGTGGTCCTTGGTTCTTGGAGGGAGCATTGTCATCCCAGATGAGAAAAGTTCACTGAACATATAAATGTGGATCTCTGTGAGTTCCTGGTCAGCCAGGTTTACAAACTGAGTTGCAGGACAGCCAGGGTGGCCATACAGAAAAAACTCAGCTTTGAAAAACCAAAAAAGAAAAAAGAAAAAAAGAAAGAAAATCAAAATCAAACTAAAATAAGAAAACCCACGCCCCCAAATTATAAATGCATATTTATACACAGAATTTCATGCTTCAGAACTAGTTTTAGGTAAATAGTTAATGGTACGATTTCATGGCTTTTCAGACATCCTTACGGTTATTTTACCTCCTTCTGTCTTTACCTTCCCACCTCTCTAAAAGCCCCTTTTCATCTCTCCCCATCAGAGCCCATGTATCCCACCATTCCTTTTACCCTCTTCTGGCCTTCTTCTGTATTTGCTTCCCTTCCCCTCCCTGAAGAGCCCCCTTTCTCTTCCCCT